CCGTGACCCCAAAAATGATGAATATTCCAACCAATTAAGTTTTTTGGATGTGTCGGGCTTCGTAGGTGGTGTAGGCGGTTTTTTGAACTACGTTACTAAAGTAGGCAAATTATTGATACTTGATGGAGAAATCGAATCCACTATGATACATAATAAAAATTAAGAAATTTTAGACAATACTGTTTTTTCAGAACTGAACACACTTCAAATGAACCATTTTCTTTACTTTTTGAACTCGTTTACTCATTATCATCTCAAATTGGGTTAGGTGTTGTAAATATGCTCAGTAGTAATAATTTAGCTAAGTAGGAAAGAAGAATTTTTGTCAATAAGTTTAAAGCCGACGAAATTGCAAAACTAATAAAAAACGTAACGTTCCAAAATTGCGATCTAAAAGAGACTACTTAATAGATGTGTGTGAAAAGCATGAAACAAAACTAACTGAACTAAACAAAAATACTGATCCAAATATAGAGTTCCCGCAAAAGCCGAACGAATCGTGCGCACAATCCGTCATCAATTATTCTATTTGCGTGTTAATTGTGTGTTTTGGGTATTTTTCTTGCGAGCGCTAAAATCGTCGTTAATTAATCGTCAGGCGCCTGCGCGAGCAGACATGAGCTNCATGAGCGATGGCCGCACTGACTTGCCGTAATTGTCATGCGCGTGAGCTTGTCACCACGATTTAAGGGTTATGGCGGACAGGTGACGTAAAACTAGGCAACAATCTCTTATATGTTTATAGCTAGGTAAAAGATTTAATTTCTTCATCATACTTATTTATGATTCATCATTTCCATTTGGAAGGAAATCTGCCCAAGTGTTTAACTGTTCTGAAAATTCTTACATTTGCAGGGATACCTGCTTACTTTACTTCCGTGTGTTCCTGTTTCTGGTTCATTTTGTTAGGGAGCAAATTATGTTAGAGTTTTGCATTTTTCAGATCCTACATTCACTGAAAAAAATGTCCCAACAGTTCAGCGGCTGTGGTGTTTAGTACCGTAGTCACCTTCCCAAATCATGGTCACCACACCGGATGAACACGTGACAAATGCGTTCTTCCACGGGCTATTGCGTGAGGATGAACATGTTGCAATAGACCACACCGTGTCGGAACAACCGACGACAATAAACTTCGGAAACTGACGTGTGGATGATTTGTGTGCCCGCAAAGTGCGGGTCGACCTACTAAGGTCCAATTAGGACGTGAATTCTGAAAAACAGCTTTACGTTAGGGTTTCTAAACAAAGGATCAATGAATACTGGTATGTGATTTCACATATTTGGACGAAAGCAGCAGTTTAGCTACCTTCATTTATCATTCAAATGCCTTCTATCATTATCTAGAAATTGGTAAGGATTTGTAATTTTTTAAAGTTTTTATGTGGTCTTTAACTACTTATGTAGGTACTTGCTTCTGATACTTGGGCATTGAGGCACAGGTACAGTTCCAATATTACAGTTTTATTGTAGTTTCCACCTACAGTTTTCAGGGATATTTTCCCTCAAAATTTCCCTACCAGATGGTCTGAAACCTACAAACTTTGGCTTTCAATTTAGTGAAGTTTCAAATCGAATACGACGGCTATCCGTTCGTCGACATATCCTCCTCCATTTTGAATTATATTGTTAGTCTGAAAAACGAAACTAGATACATCGACGACTCTATTGGCACCGTTACAAACACAAATTGAATCACATTGCTTTAATGTTGATCCGTTTATAATAATCAAAGAACAAGATGTGTTTCGTTACGCGGTGCGCCATCCAACGAGACGCGCGCGCTCCGCCGGCAACTGTCACCCCCAATTATGGCGTCCATGACAGTTTTGCGCGCTTGCTTTTGAATATAGAACAGTTCTTTTTTATTTTATTTCCCGACGAAATAATGACACAGCATCTGCTAACGTACTGCCAAGCTTTGAAGATGTTGTTGCTCCTTGTAAAATTTTCGGTTTGTTACATTTGTTTATGGTGGAGTATTTTGGAATGGAAAACATCATAATTTTTTTTTGTCAATTTTTCGCTGTTGAAATATTTAAGACATTTGCAAAGTGAAGGTAGGTAGAATAAAGTTTAATGATCCCTGATCGTTCACCAAAACGTCGCAAAACAAACAAAGGGAAAATTCAACGGTTAATTTAAAAACAACAATTCTTCAACATGACTTTAACCAATTAAGTTAACTTTCTGTACTCGCCGCCCTGTCTATGATGGCGAGCTCCACTACTCGTACTAAGGCAGTGAAGCCTAGTGTCTTCCAGCGACTGTAATAATGCGTCATCGTTTGAGTTGATAAATAGGAAGCAACATTCTTCCCCGTGAAAAAAAGAACAGATCAGTAACCGATTCGACAAAAACGTAACTATTGAATAAAGATGTTTTTAAAAAATTAGACGCATCAGATTGGATAAAGAAAATTAAGATTGGCCACGGCTTGCGTCTTTGAGAACAGTCAATGGCGACCGCTTCAAAATCTGCTTCCACGAATAAAGAATGATAAGCGGTTCAGCGCGGGCGAAACCATACACAGAAGCTAGTAAACCCTTTAATTAAAACGTAACTAATCAAACGTTTTTATTTCGAGATTTAATTTATCTTCTACAGAACCCCGAGCGACTTCGTAGCCGCGCGGGCGCAGACGAGTGGTTTTTGGACGTTTCCCGCTAATTCGATGCGACGGGTCGCCCGTTCTATTCCCGGCGAGAGCTGGCTCGTTGCGGGCGGATGCCGCGCGTGTTACGCGCGATCGCCAATGATGCTTTTAAGTTCATCTGCCTTCTTCAGCAGGCGAGAATACTTGTCTACTTATTTTTCTGAGAACTTCTAGTCTAGACAATTTTGTCATTGATTCCATTTCATAATCGTCGCTTGTTTGAAGTTATATTCTGCGCAAGCGCAGCATGGGACGTTCATCCACAAGGTGGTCAGATGACCTCATAAAAGTGTAAAAGGCGCTGGTTATAAGCCGCTACCAACCGGCCAATCTGGACATTATTGGAGGAGGCCTTTATGCAGTGGACGCCCTGTGGCTGAAACGATGGTGATGATGCATAACTTAATAGTTTCTAAGCGGAACCGAACTATGGAAATTATTATCTTAATTTTATTAAGTACTAGCTTTCCGCCCGCGGCTTCGCCCGCGTGGAATTTTGTCTGTCACAGAAAAACTTTATCGCGCGCGTCCCTGTTTCAAAAACCGGGATAAAAACTATCCTATGTTCTTTCCCGGGACTCANAGTAGGTATTAGGTTTAATATTAAATATACTAATGCTATATTATGCCATTAAATGCTACGGCTGCTGTTGTCTGCTACCTTAAATAAGTTTTTCTTACCTAGACTGGGTTGCATCATCTTACTTAAACTTTGATAAACGTCAAAAATCTGTCAAACTCCATACAAAAACACCGGTTATCGTTAAAGTTAAGTTACGGTCAAAGTTAGGTCGTGCAACTCAGCCTTAGCTTGAGATCTAGCGCAGTATTACTTACCTAAAATAATTATTTTATATGCCATCGTACAATTTCTGGACCAGATAATTGGATGTGAAAAAAAGAAGTCGGATGTCTGCACACTGAAACTTTAATGATGATGAGTGTTGAAGAACGTTTGGCAATAGAAAAACGACCGTCATATCGCATCACGCCACAGTTTCACATCTTAATTGTAGATTTGGCAAACTCTTATGTCTGGGATAAAAATTGGATCAGCCAATCCGTAGCTTGGTAGTAAAACAAAGGTTGTAGCCGTAATACAATAAACTGTAAGCCTAGGCGCAGACCACCGACTTTTAGTTGGTCGATAGTTGGGTCCGATTCTAATTTGTATGAAGAATCGGCCGATACCAAATCGGTGTAATGTGCGCACTTTCATATTATCTCCATACTGATCAACAGCCCGATCCAACTATCGGCCAAGTAAAGGTCGGTGGTGTGCGCCTATGCTAAAACAAAAACATCATAAATAAAAAGTTCCTATAAGTTATTTTCAGGCTTTAGTTTTTTTTTCCAAAATTAAGGGATAGTTAGTACCTAATTCATAAATGGTTGTGAAATTGGGATTGTATGGAGAACAAAATAATTTCTCATAAGGTTTATATTCTTTTGTTGAGTGTGTTTAAAAACGGGAGAGCCATGTAGCCTGCAACCGCGAAGACTTCAGGCCAAATCCTGCATTTACCTCTGAGTAAAATTTTTAAAGGACTCTTGCACAGTGGCGTTTTATGTGAAACTCTGTACCTAATATGCCTGCTAAAAATAGGAACGTATGGATACAGGCAGGTTTACCTGAGATTTTGGTCCAGCGCGGCACCGTAATGTAGAAAATCGTAAACTAGTGCAATGAGCTGCAGCGCTACCAGCTTCACAGGCCTACAAAATAAAAACCAGCCGGGATTCGGAACTTTTTTCTGCTCCATCATCAAAATTATAAATGGAACACTATTTTCAAATCCGTCGGCGTAAAACGCGATGTCTCACCCGCCCGACATTGTAGCATAATTTTGTTGATCATAAAAACTAATTTCCACATCCGCGTTGGAATCCCGGACATAAACTTATCAGAACCAATTACTTTAAAGGTTTGTTTTAATTTTCTCGTCGCCCACTATAAATAATACGCGTTGACGTGTCAATTATTACTTCAAATCCGTTCCCGCTTAATTTTTTTTTCTATCGGCTCGCGGGCGGGCTGAAGAAAAACCACGCCTCGCGGTTGCACTGTTTCAGACAAAATCAAAATTAGAACCAAGAGGAACACCCATCGAGATCAACTCAAAAGCAATTTAAATTCTGCGTCTTCAATTTAAAGTGCATTTTCGATCGATAGAACAAAAAGGCTCGCAGCCAATAAAAGTTTTAAACTTTCAATCTTAGCTGGATGTAATAGGGTTGTGATTCCTAATTTTTGCGCGTTTGTGGGAGTATTTAGGCGGCAAGATGTTAACAAGACATTTTTTAACCCCCACATGTTCAGAGCAGTGCTAAAGAGAGCCAGATCACGGCACCGACTCCATTAGTTCGCACATTAGGCCGAGTTAGTCGAATTATTTAATTAAATAAAGTAATTGAATAACTTAGTGAATTAATAACGATTATTCGATGCGGCCGGCTCTCATCCAAGTTGAAGTGGACAAGTGAAGATTTTATTTTGAAATGAAGTGACAGTGCCCGATTACTTATTGAAAGAAACGACTTTTTAAATTAATTTTTGAGTTTAATTCGTGAAGATGGAGCAGAATAAAGGTATGTCTATATTTTTAATCTATGAAGTAGTAGATTTGTTATTTAAAAACTCACTTTCCGTTACTAAACTACTTAGGCCATTGTCACACTTGACGGAAATGTGCCGTCGCGGAACTTCCAAAGCAGGTTATTACTTAAAAAATCATAAAGTAATTATTTCACATTACTTAGATAGATTTAAGTCGTTCAGATAGTAATTTGCCAAATAAAAATGGTGTGTACTTACAGAAACCTTTCGTACAACCCGTTCGCGCTAAGTTTGTGCCGGTCCGTGGAATGCGCGTCCCCTCCCTCAACCGCGATTAAACGCAATTAATGTGTCTTATTTTACCCAAATACCTACACAATGTTTATCAATAATAATAAATAAAAAATACTTTAAATATAGTTTGTTATAGTTATAGACCCTTCGAGTGACGTCATATCGCCAGCGACAAATTTAAAGCGAACGGATAGTACCTACCTATACTTCTCTCCTAAAGATTTGAAAATTAAGTACTACCCGTTCGCGCTAAGTTTGCCGGTCCGTGGAATGCGCGTCCCCTCCCCCCAACCACGATTAAACGCAATTAGTTAGAGATTAACGCAATTAATGTGTCTTATTTTACGCAAATACACAATATTTATCAATATTAATAAATAAAACATATTTTCAATATAGTTTAATATAGTTATAGACACTTCTTTTCGAGTGACGTCATATCGCCAGCGGCAAACTTATCGCGAACGGATAGTAGTAAAACTTTGGTAAGTAGGTAAGTTGAGAAAAACTACTTACTTACCTACTTAAAAATAGTTAAAAATTAAATGTATAAAATTAAGTACCTAAAGCTGAATTTCTGGCCGCATTTTATACCTACTCATGATGACATAAAAATTTATTATGACCTAAACCTACCTAACTCATTCTATAAATTAAATGTAAGTTGAATAAAATTATCTGCGATAATATAAAATTATTTGTCCTACTACTACCTTACAAAGTCCAGAAATCAGGAAGTAGGTTGTTTAGGTATTCTTTTATGTCGTGTGAGTGTCTATTTTTTAATTTAGCATTATTTTGAACTTTTAGATTTTTATTCAGGGCATTTCAGGTGTTAGTATGGGAAGACCAAAGAAGAGCAAAGTATGCGTCATGGGTTAACAATCCCCAAAAGTTTTCAATCCAGCCAAAGTAACAGATTTCCGAGTTGGCTTGTATAACAGATTTCCGAGTTGGCTTGTATCTTTGCATACCTACCTAGATGAAATATTCCTTTCGTTTCAACTAAAAGATTATCCGTTTCTGGACAAAGACTTGTCCCGAGTATTTCCACAACGACCCGTTCTTGCGCTACCCGCATCAGGTTTCCCGCGAAAAAATGCACATGAAAGGAGCCGCTGGGAAAATTCAATAAAAATTGATAGTATGACGAATTTATTTATTTAAGACACGGCTACAGAGAACAAACAATAACAATACAAATAATACAACAACATAGCACATTATTAATATTAATAGTTTAAAAAATAAAGTTTATTATGCAGATTTATATTCGTTTACGAAAACTTACGAAAGAAATACTATTTTTTTCACAAACATAATAGGTATTCGGTAGTAATAATTTATTTATCCAGCTACAACCCTTATAGAAATAAAAAAATTAAACACCGGTTTGTTAATCGGTCTCAAGATAGATCCTTGAGGAACGCCACAGCCAGTCTCAACTTAACGAATTATAATTTTATAATTTAAGTCAAGTAAATGACTTGTTATCTGAAGACCTACCTATATGCCTTATCATTAGTCTGAGTAATTGGTGAAAACTGCATGGATATAATCCTTTTAATAGTTTTTAAGTTTATCGCGAGCAGACACAAACGCGGCAGAAGACTTTGATTTAACTATAATACGCCTACTTAGGTAATCATAATGATCTAATACATATGATTTTATAAAGACTCTTGACTACCTCGTGTCCAAACAAGCATCAAATCATTACCTCGTGCCGCGAAACTGATAGGGTTGCGTCCGCCGCCCAACAACGCCCCACTGAGAACGATCGTCGGTGCGTGCGCACTCAAAGATCTTTGTTTGTGATTAATAGAAGACCTTCGCAAACTTTACCTATGTAAGCCGTAGCCTACGTCTTGTTAGTCCATGTGGAATTAAGAATAAAATTGAAGGGTATTATTTTGATCAATCATATTATACCGTTTGTAAAAATCTCATAAAAACTCGACGAATTAAAAGTAATTAATATTCCCTAGTAACAGATGAGAACTTTTATTACAGATTTATTTTTTAGTAGCTTACTACGAAGTAGGTACACCTACTCCTATTTTATTTCCTTACAAAGAACATACCTTCCAATTTATAAGTAGATTAAATTAAATTGATACCTAAATTTTGGTTGCTGAAAAACAAAATTTTAAATATCCTTTTCTTCTTCAGATACTCCCAACGGCATCAGACCAGAGGCCGTAAAAAACTACGACATGAAAGCAGCAGCTCAAGCCAACTACGGGATAAACCACGTGAACTACACTGAGACCAATCACAACCTGTTCCAGATGATCAAATGCCACGAAGACAGTCTTCTGAGGCTCCATCACCTCACAGCTGGACGCCAGATGAACGGTACCTATGACCCTTCTTACCAAAACGACCTAATGTGGTACCCTAAAGACACCCAACGACAATACATCAAACCTGGCTACACCTACGACGAAATGAGAAGGAAGTACGATGAAGCAAAAGGCACTAAAGAAAGAGAAAGCCAGAAAGAGTCAGAAGAAGAAAAAGAAGGAAAAACAGACGACAGAAAGAAGCCAAGGAGGAACAGGACCACGTTTACGAGCCAACAGCTGGCAGCATTGGAAAAGGTTTTCGAAAAAACCCATTATCCAGACGCTTTTGTTAGAGAGGACTTGGCGGCGCGAGTCAATTTGACTGAAGCTAGAGTTCAGGTACGTCTGTCAATTAATATTGATGCTGGGAAATTACAAGGTATAAAAATAAAGATATTCATTACTTTTAATTTTTCTTTCTAGGTATGGTTTCAAAACCGACGGGCCAAGTTCCGGAGAAATGAACGATCTGCATTGTCCAGTCACCGGTCATCCACAAGTCACGGATCTCCTGAACCTATACCAGTTCCAATCGGAATCCCAAACCAAGCTGACCCCCGACCAGATTACAACAGAAACACCAAAGAACCCTGGCTACATCACTTTCAAGCTAATAATCTGAACTTAAACATCGGCATCCCCATCCCAAACTCAGGGCTATACCAAAACGATTATTCCTTGATGATGCAAAATATGGGAAACAGGCAATATGTTCCTAACTCAAATACTTTGATGAGCCAAGGTGTAATGGGCTACGGAGGCTCAACGGAAAATTCTTACGGTTCGTGCGCACTTATTAGTGGCTATAGTGGCTCTTTACAACCCGCACATCATAGTTCTTACAACTTGAATCTACGATTACGCCCCCATGATTTTAGTATAAATAATATTACTTTATGAGATGTACATTATTATGAATTATGTGAGTAAATAACATTTTCTGGACGTAGTTTGTGTTTTATTTATTGAAAACATATTATAGACGCGATATACATACAGAAAAGCTGTACCTANAAGCTGTATAATATTTGATTCCATGAGTACTTACTTAATTTAAAAAAATGTATTGGCTGTCAGATAATGACATATGTCAAATGTGACATCCAAAAAGAAAACTACCGCGCCGAAAGTTGGCAAAGTTTAGAAAATGTAAAATATTTAGTTGAAATTAGTAAAGTAGTGTAGAATACTTATTAGAATAAAATGTACATATATTTTCTACTACCGCAGTAATTTTTAAGTCACAAAATGGTTCTGTCGCTGTTTTATAGCAGGCCTTTCCTGTTAATTGTTTCGTTTGCATTTACATCGCATTATCTTTACAAGTTCTACCAAAAGAAGGAGAAGAAGACCCGTAAAGAGATACACGATGTCATTATGTTTGAATACATGGAAGGAAAGTTCAGACAAAGCAAGCACTCAAGATGCAAGATTACCCACAGTATGGACAAGTTGCTGGGATACCTGGATGGCGCTAAAAAGACCTTGGATATTTGCATGTATGTGTTGACCAATATGGATGTAGCAAATGCGGTGATGAAGCTTCACTTCAGAGGTGTTAAAGTGAGGGTCTTAATTGATGCAGATATGGCTTACACTCAAGGCTCTATGGTTAGAAGGTTGGAAAAACAAGGTATTCAAGTCCGTTGGATGAAATCCACTAGACTGATGCATCATAAGTTCTACTTGATAGATGCGTCGACAGATGATGAGCAAGTGACACCGGTGGTGATGACGGGTTCTCTGAATTGGACGAACCAAGCTCTTTATGGGAATTGGGAAGATGTAATCGTCACTTCACAAGAAGTTATTGTGGATCAGTACAAGGCCCGATTTGAAAAGCTCTGGAAAGAGTTCAAGCCTGTGGTCGCTCCTGACTTAAAATTTTATTAATTCATATTGTTTTGATTTTTCTTGTTAACTAAAACATGCCTGATATGATTGGGTATTTGTAATTTGTTAAGTGAAATACAAGGGTTATCTTTAAAAGTGACAAGATCTTTTCAGAAAATGATTGTGTTAAATAAATAAGTTAAACAAATTATATCTTTAAAAATATAGCAATAAACTAATATTATTAACTTGTAGTTGTCTTGTATTTTTGTCCCTCTATTATCATTACTTGCAAAAGTAAAAATATTTTTTACAGTCAAAGGTGATTTTACAAAAAAAATATTGTAGTCTTATGATCTGATGTGCTCTATTCTCTATCTACCTACATTTATACACAAAATTAGGGACGTGGAAAAATATGATAGGTAAAGTACAAAAAAAGAAGTAATTTTATCAAAGTTGTTAAATTAATTTAATTTTTTTTTGTGGAAATTAATTTTTTTCCCATTGGAAAGTACGTAAAAAGCTATTAATTGGAGTAATTAAATTGATTTTTAGCAATGCATTTCTTAATCAACACAACAAAATGTTAGAACAAACGCTACAAACCTGTAACTAATAACGTTACCACGTTAAACGGTTTCTTTGTGATTTCTGAACGAAAGCGATAACGTCACTGAACTCGCTGATAAAAGTCAAAAGTTCAAAGTCAAACTTTGGGCACAGTGTTTTTTGGTAAAAATAAAATTTAACAGATATTACAGTAAGCATAAATTATTTCACGAAAATGGTCGCCGGAATTGTTGCTGGACGTCTAGCCTTAGTGACTGGTAAGAGCATTTACCTGTGTTCTTTCATTATTCTTTTGAAAATGCATTTTTTCCAAACCTTTAATGATTTTAGGTGCTGGGTCTGGATTAGGGCGTGCAGCATGTCAGCTCCTTTCTCGTGAAGGTGCAACGGTTATTGCAGCAGACAAGAACTATGAAAGTGCTTTGGAGACCATCAAAACTCATACTGCATTGGCGTCAGGAGCTAATGGTATTGTATACGCCTTCTTCACCTGTTAGATAAAAATTTTGATAAATTACACTTACAATAAAAAGTGACTGTGGAGAACTAATGTATAAAATTATTTTTATATAGCAACTGGAGACCACAGTGCCGTAGAGTTGAATGTGGCTGATTCAAAGCAAGTACAGAACCTATTGGACACTATCTTGAAGCAGTATAAGGCACCACCTACTATTGTGGTCAACAGCGCTGGAATCACCCGTGACAATTGGCTCCTGAAGATGTCAGAAGAAGACTATAATGCTGTAATTGACGTTAACCTGAAGGTCTGTTTTTATTATTTCGAAGTGTGGTGGGAAAGTGAAGATAAATCAATATTTCAACTTTTGATTTTTTCAGGGAACATTCCTAGTCATGCAAACTTTTGCCAGAGCAATGGCTGCAGCCTCATTGCCTGGCTCCATCATCAACATATCTAGTATCATAGCAAAATATGGAAACATGGGTTTGTTTCTTTTAATTTAAATAGAATAGAACTAACAAACAAAATATTATTAGGTTCTTTTATAAAATATCTAAAAGCAAAATTGGTTTGAAAAGGCTGTGATTATTATTTTTTGGTCTATTTTTTCAGGTCAAACAAATTATGCTGCAAGTAAAGCAGGTGTTATTGGTATGACCCAGTCTGCAGCCAAAGAGTTAGGGAAGAGTAACATAAGGTTAAATTTTACTTAAACTATTATTAAGTCATTTAATATTAATTGGGAAATCTCAATTAAATGCTTTTGTTACAGAGTAAATGCAATTTTGCCTGGGTTTATAAAGACACCTATGGTAGATACAGTACCTGAGAAAGTTATACAAGGCATGCTGAAATTGGTGCCCCTGGGTAGAATGGGTCAACCCTCAGGTTAGTGCAGAAGAATGGATTTATCTTGTTATCTATACTAATATTATAAATGCGAAAGTAACTGTCTGTCTGTCTGTCTCGCTTTCACGCGTAAACCACTGAACTGATTTTGATGAAAGGCATAGAGATAGTTTGAGTCCTGGGAAAGGATATCTAGGATAGTTTTTATCCTGGTTTTTGAAACAGGGACGCACGCGATAAAGTTTTTCTGTGACAGACAAATTCTATGCGGGCGAAGCCGCGGGCGGAAAGCTAGTATTCTTATAATTTCTGATGTGCTGTCAACTGTACACATATTGTAACAATGTTTTAATAATTGATTTTTTTATTTCAGAGTTAGCTGAAGTGATCACGTTTTTAGCATCTGACAAGAGTTCGTTTGTAACTGGTGCTGCAATTGATGTGACTGGTGGATTTTAAATTATTTAAATAAATCATGTCTATGGGCATTAAACAAAGTCAACATACCTATTACAAAATAATATAAATCTAATGCTACAATATTCAAGTCTAAACTAAGTGAACTTCCATCTTACTGTGATATTTTACTTATCTTGCGACGAAATAAATATTAATTTTGATGGTTTTTGATACTTAATAGAATGTATTTTATGAGTCATATTTTATGCCATTTTGGTGATAGTTTGCAAATAAATGAGTTAAAAAAATATTGTATGGTTTTTTATTATATCTTATCAGATTATTCAGTGTACAAAATGTTTATCTAGTGTGTTATAAAACAATAGTCATTGTGAAGATAGAGATGTATATCATCAAATTATGTAAGGTGTAAGGTTTTCCATAGTATGAAAATGATTAAAAAGTAATGGTACCAACATTTATTTACTTTTCTTATTATTAGTTTTTAATTTATTTTTCTTGTGTTCAGCTTTATTCTTCTGTCTTTTATCTCTCATAAACGTTCTGTACTCAGATTTCCTCTTCTCATCTATGATTTCTTTGTATTTCTTCTTGTTGTACTTCTGGAACTCTGCATCGGCTAGCAGTTCGTCAACCATTGTCCTCTTCCGTTCTTTTCTGGTTAACCGCTCATTGACATGGTCAAGTTGGGAATCCATTATACGACCAACCTGTAAATTTTCCATGACTTTATTTATTTACTGCTTTACTTCCATTGCATAATAAAAGAGATTAGATAGTGTCAGATGAGTACATAAAATTTTATCAAATGAAGTATAGGTGAGTGTCAATATTGCAATAATAAAGCAACATGGCAGAAGGGTAGTCCTACTAGCAAGAGGTAACATACAGATCTAACCCTTAGCTTATACTTGTTTTAGTAACTATAGATTTTTTATACACACCTGAAAGTATTTAGGCAGCACTTCCATGTCGTTCTTCTTGTAGAAGTGCTTAGGATCGAGGGCTGACCTCATCTTCAAGACCTCAAGGTCATTCTTGAGTTCTTCAGTCATCTCAGGGGCCGGTAAGTTGAACCATTCAGGACCCTTGGTCTTCTCTCGTTCTTTCTGCAAATTACAACAGTAAAAGACGGTAAATAATCTTGAATACAAAGCGTTCAATTGATTAGTGTTGTAGACAGATGTTAAAATTAATAGTGATAACTATAGAGTAGGGCTGGGACTTTATTAGGCACAAGTTAGACTTATTATTTTTAAGGCCTATTCTTTAGAATAATATGTCAAAGTAAGTTCAAATTATGATACATACCTTCCTCATAGCTTTTAATTTCCTCTGGCTAACATAATATGCAGGTAAACTGTGCTCTTTTTCTATTCCCGGGTGCAGAATTGACTTTTGCATTTCCTTCTCAACATCTACCGAGCCTATTTTAGACTTGAGCTTGCCAGTTTCAACATCCAACTGTTCAAAGTGGAACAGCCTTTGTTTATTCTCTGTTTTAACTGCAATAGCATGATTCCATTTCATTTCATCGAAGAATTCATCAAAGACGCTGTCGATTTTCAAACCCTTCAGTTTGTTTTGCAATTCCTCTTCTGCTGAAGCTTTGGAGTCCAGTTCTTCTTTCTTTTTCTCAAACAACTGTAGGATCGCATGTGTTCTTTGTTCTTTATCTGAAATAAGAAAAAATATGTTACAACTTCCCTTGAATTAGACATACTTTAGGATTCGTGTTATTTTTTTGATTCACGTAACTAACCTATAAAGTAAGGTGTCTCCTCTTCATTTAGCAATTCTGTTTTTACTTGAAGTTCTTCATCACCAGCTGTATCAATTATAAAATCCATGGTTTATGTCATTGATAAACGAGGGCCAAATAAAATCAGAAAAGAAATAGAATGCAAAAATTAAACAAGAACAAGCATGGATCTAGTCAACAAAGTTTGACAGATGACAGATGTCATAATCGTTCGTTCGGTAATGATGTGGTTTCTAAAAGTTCAAAAGTTGTATTACAATACTGAATAACGTTAATCGTTATTATACTTCAACCAAATCACACAGTTTATGCCCATAAATGCGATATGTAAATAGTAATTCTCCTTTTGTACCCTTTGCACCACCAGCCTGCACCACTGGTGGTGCAAAGGGTATTTTTAAATCCCTCTTGCACCACCAACAAATAGTGCTGTGCTACCATCGACTGTAAAACTAGTAGTAGACTAAAATACTTTATATTTAATTGTTATAAATAAATCAAAACCTACCTAAAAGTTTTAATTTGTGTACCCACGATACCCCGGGCCTACATCCTACATACAACGAATAAAGTACCAGGGCAACATAACCATAAAGGAGCTATTTTATGATGCATGTTTATTTCTCGGATCAACCAAGAAGAATTTGATATAGCTCCTTTATGATTATGTTGCCCTGGTACTTTAGGAATTATTCGTTGTATGTACATTTATGACTATGACTATGAATGGTTGTTATTAATTTTTATGTTATGTTGTCAAATCTGTCCAGTAGTTTCGGAGCCTATTCAGTACAAACAAACAATCAAATCTTTCCTCTTTATAATATTAATATTATATGATTATAGATAATCGTTTTACAGTTAATGGTAGGGCGGCACTATTGGTGGTGCAAAAGGGATTAAAAAATACCCTTTGCACCACCAGTGGTGCAGGCCGGTGGTGCAAAGGGTACAAAAGGGCTAAGCCATAGGACGTCCACTGCTGAACATAGGCCTCCCCCAATGCTTTCCATGTCGCCCTTGGTAGCGGCCTGCGTCCACCGCTTTTCTGCTACCTTTATGAAATGAATGAAGTTATGCAAAGTTACTATTCTAATTGCAGATAATCTGGAATAAAAAAACTTAAACTAGGTACAACGAATCCAAACGATACTTCTACGTCATAGTTTCATGCATTTCCCAAGGGCAATGCACAAATGTCATTATTATTCAAGGCTCTTGGAAAGTCGTGTCGTGTCGAACTCAAGCTGTTGCTTGAACAACCCTTCACATTTCTGAACGGGGAAATACGATCTTTTGCCAGGAGAATACAGCCCATAATAACGTGACGTGACAATAAGTGCCGGTTTGGGCGGGACAGTCCCGTTTTCAGGCAGTCTGTCCCGATGTCCCTAGAAGCCAAAATAGACCCCATTACTTACTTACGACAGTTTTTTTAGCAAATTTAGAGGGCCGGCAGATCTTCAAAATTATAAAAAAGAAATATCGATACCTCTGGGCTCAAAGGTCGTAAAGGACAAAGTACGACTTTTCAGGAGAAGCAAAAAACGTTTTTTTATTTGAAGATAACTTTTTTGTTTTTTGAGCTATTAAATTATGACTTATGAAGAAAGTGCTTAGAATTCACGGCATTTTCCGAAGAGGTGTTGAAAAACTGGACTAGAGCTCTATTTACTGAGATAGATTTCCTTTACGCCCTCAAAATTACAATAAAAAGACCTTTACGCCCCTCAAATATTCGTCCTAGGCAAGTTACTCAGGACGTAAGTCTATTTTTATTTCACAAAACTACAAAACTAAGGTAATAAATGTCAATTTACATAGTTTTGCAGGTTTTCATGGGTCGTAACGGGACACCCAGGTAAGGTATTATGAAAGGGTAAATTGATGATTTAGCTTAATTTTATGGTATTTCATATGTAATATACCATTTCTTCACATAGTTTTAATGAATTATGGTCTTTTAAATGAAATAAAATGATTTTCCGTAGCTTCATAATTTAATGCACACAATTTATGAAACTATTTAAGTAGACGTTTTGATATCTTCGAACTAGAAGAAACTATTTCCGATATAAAAGCTAATTTAGAAAATAAATATTATGATGCTTTTAAATAAAACTTCATAAATGTCTACTTTATAGGAAAAACCGAAACCAATTTAATTTTATTTATTTATTTAATCATTATTATTGTTTCGAAAAACTGCAAATAGCGGATGTAATTCCATAGGGCAGTCTGTCTGTTAAGGACAGCCGCTCGGGCGTGCGGAAATAAGAAAAACCTTCGGTTAAAATGAAGATATATTCCTGCAAATAAATGCCCACAACGGCTATCAAAAAACACATCAACTTCAAAACTAAACAAAAGGTATTAAAAAGTAATAAAAAAAGTATAAAAAACATAGACAATATAAAAAAAGAGGTTGGTCCACCAATCGGTTCCCAACATCCTCCCCTCCTGTGGCGAAGCCACACTACTCTAGGGGTGCACCGACAGGTGGATCAGCTTGGATGGAATGGGAATGAATGAAGCACCTAAGATGGCATGAATCGGGGTCGGCTGGTATCTCTACAGTGGGCTGTGGGCGGCTATTAATAAGAGCTTCTGCTTTTCTCAGAGCATGGCATACAAGGCAGTCTCTACGTGGCGTTGTGTGCGGAGCCACTGGCGGTTGAAAGGACCAAGAAATGCCAGGGTTGGCTCCAGCTTCTGCCATGGACTTCAATATGTTGGAAACGCCGACAAAAACCGTCCCATTGTCGGGAAAAATCTTCAATGGAGCGCCGCGTCGTGCAATAAAACGCCTCCAACGTCNAGGCTATACCTACATATTTTCGCGTGGAACTCAAACATAGGCTACTGTGTCGTTCTTTTTGTATATGGCCAGGTCTGGGATATTTTAAAAAAAGGTTACAAAATTTTACTAACAAATAATCTTGAGTGACCCTAGCTGAAAAATTAAGAACTACTAGATTTAAAAAAAATGGATCTGCCAACAGCAGGGAACGGGCCAGGGGTGATTTACGGTTTGTACTCCGAATGACTGTCGTGACTACACCGATCAAAATGGCGCGAATATTTGTTATGCGCAACTGTAGGGCCCTGTAACTTCTTTATTTGTAGAGATATTTTCATGATTATTTCACAATTATTATTAGTTTTACTTATATTTTCAAGTTTTATTAAAATAATAAAATTTGAAACTTCTCCATTATTCAATCTTGCTTGATGAAATCTTTTTCAATTTCCTTTACATGGTCATAACATTTTCACCATTCCTCTGCACCAATTTGTGAGATACACCTGAAAATCCCGATAAAGCAGCTATTAAGTAAGAAGAATATAAAAAAAACACAACCCTCCTGACGCAGTTGGGTAGTAAACTAAATGTATCAAAACATTTCAGTC